GGGAGAAACATTGATCAGTTGCCTTCCATATGTGCCCTGAATGGGAACTGAACTAGCAACCTTTCAGTGCACAGGATGAGCTCAACCAACTGAGCTGCTCTGGTCAGCTTTGCCTATCTTTTAAATGACCAGGTGCTTTCTAACTATGATTCATAATGTAGAAGCCCTTCAAATTCAACCACATTAAAAAAAAAAAAAAAGGAAAAAAGCACACAAAAATACACTGGACATATGGTCAAAAAACATATCAGTCAAAAGTTGGACAGCAAACTGGAAAAAAATATTTGTGTATTACATCACAAAGGGCTACTCTCCCTAATATAAAAGGACTCCTATAAATAGAGAAGAAGAAATCTAACAGTTCAATATGTAAACACGTAAAGAATACTAACAATTCAGAAAGGAAACATAAATGGATCTTAAACAGGAAATATGTTCAATCTCACTCATGTTAACAAATATGAAATACTACTATGAGATGCCATTTTAAAAAGTAATAAATAGCCCTGGCCAGGGTTGGTCAGTGGTTAGAGCATTGGCCTGCGCACCAGAGGGTTTGGTTCCTGGTCAAGGGCATGTGTGGGAAGCAGCCAATTAATGTGTCTCCTTCAGATCGATATTTCCCTGCCCCCTCCACTCTCTCTGAAAATCAATGGAAAAAATATCCTCACCTCTTGGGTGAGGATTTAAAAAAAAAAAGTAATAAACAGACAAAAATCTGAAGTTTGATGTTGAAAAGGATATGGGAGGAAGGCACTCACACTGTGGAGGTGGAAATGTAAAAAGATATAACTGCAATGAAGTGCAATTTGACAATAATCATCCAAATTAAAAATACACTTATCCTATGATCAAACAATACCATTTCTCAGAAATTTTCTACTGATATAAGTGCACATGTACAAAATAAAATATGAACAAGGCTACTCATGTTAGCACAATACTGCAACTGCACAAAATGGTGACTAAGGGACTACATAAATTATGGTTTAATCCACAAAATTGAATATTGCATAATTTTTAAAATTTATCTTTATTGTTGAAAGTATTACAGATGTCCCCCTTTTTACCCCCTTGACCCCTTCTACCCCTACCCTTCCCCACCCCAGGACTTCACCACACTATTGTCTATGTCCATGGGTTATGCATATAAGTTCTTTGGTTAATCTCTTCCCACCCACCCACCTCCTCCTTCCCTCTGAGATTCGTCAGTCTGTTTCATGCTTCTTTGTGGAATATTGTATAATTTTAAAACAAAAAAAGTATGCTTTTATGTAGTGATAAGAAAAGAGTTCTTAAACGTATAGCTAAGTTAAAAAAGCAGGGTGTGTGTAGTGTGCTCTTTTATGTAAAATAGTGGAACTGGGATAAGGATATGTTATTTATAAATTAAAACAAAAGCACAGAAGGATACACAAGAAACTAATAATAAAGGTTGTCTGAATGTAGTAGTCCCTGTAAACTAGATGAGTGAGGTACTATGCACCTTTTATTTCTGAGCCATTGGGAAGTACTGCCTATTTGCCATTGCTGATGCTCTGCTCCTGGCTGTTGGGAAAATAAATCTTTCCCAGCCATGTGTGCTCAAGACTGCTTTGCCTACTCTTTTACCCAGTCTTGGGTAGTTTTCTCACATGCATGTGCAGTACTCAAAGACTCAAGGGAAACACTTTGCAATCATCTGTAGTTTTTTCAGTGCAGCCCATCCTCTCTGTATTTTGCCATGGCTTCACTGTGCTCTAAACTCATTTCCCCAGTTCAGCACATTTGAGTTGTCTCCCTCTGTGCCACAGTCTACAAACTCTCCCTGCAGTGACCTGGGGCACTTGTAGGACTTACCATGTTTGTCTCCTCTCTCAGGGGTTACTCTCCCATCTGCCTGTTGTCCAGTGCCTGAAAACCATTATTTCTTCTATTTTATCTGATTTTTCTAGTTGTTAAGGGAGTAGGGTAAACCCAACCCCTGTTATTTCATCATGACTGGGAGTGAAGGATTAAATTCCACATAATAAAGAACATTTTTACTCACACAGAATACCAAATACATTTTTCGTTTTCCATACTGATAAAAATGTTTCAGAAAAGATACTGCCAGTTATTGTTTTAAGTTAAATTGTACCCGGTTTATTTATTTGCTATATATCTGTATTATTTTTTTCAGAGTAGATTGTATATCTCATGCTCTTTTTTGTTAATCCTCACCCAAGGATATTTTTTCCACTGATTTTTAGTGGAAGGGAGAGGGAGAAAAAAAGAGGGAGGGAGGAAGGAAGGAAGGGAGAAACATCGATGTGAAAGAGACACATTGATTGGTTTCCTCCTACATGTGCTCCAGCTGGGGCTGCGGATCAAATCTGCAACTCAGGTTTGTGCCCTTGGCCGGGAATCAAACCCATGACTCTTGGGTGTGTGGGCCAACACTCTAACCACTGAGTATAGGTATTTTTAAAATGTGTATGTGTTGTTGTTTTTCTTGCATAGTATCAACTGAGGGTCACACATTCATTTAGTGGTCATGTATACTTAGTCTTCTTTAATCTGGAAATGTTCCCCAGACTTCCTTTTTTTTTCAAAACATTCACAATTTTGGAGCATACAGGCCAGTGACTTTATTGAATGCCTCTTCAGTTTGGGTTTCTATGCTCTTTCTTCATGACTATATTCAGGTTATAAATTTTCAGCTTAAATATTACATACTTCGTGTGCTCTTTTCAAAGTATTATATCTAGAGGCACGTAATGTCCACTTTCCCCGCATAGTTATACAGTTACCATTTTTCTATTTTTAATTAATAATTTATGGGAGTTCATTTTAGACCATGTTCATAACTTGTTCCTCAGGAAACTCTCTCCCCTCACCCCAGATTTAGCACCCACTGATGAAACTTGCCTGAATCAAGCCTCACTATGACAACTGCAAAACAATGATTTTCTATCTCCATCACCCTTTGATTAGACAACATTCTTTGGTAAAGAAGAGTTTTCTCTTCTCCTTTATCTAATTATTTTATTAGTTAGCTGGATTAATGGATTATTATTTTATTCAATCAGTTATACTCCGTTTATTGTCCTTATTTATTTTGATACTCCAATTTGGCCAGTAGAAACCCGTTCAAGCTGGCTTCTGGGTCTTTGACATGATCCCAACATTTTGGGGGGCGCTTTTCCCTGTTCCAGCCCTGGAATCAGTCATTCCTCCACAGAACCTTAGTTCACTTTAGTGAAGCACAATATTAGAATCTAATAACTGGGTGGAAGACCAGTATCTTAATTCCAGGAGCATAGCCTTTAGATCAATTTGTAAAAGATGTACCCAGGTTTCTACTCAGAGTGACAACATCTATTTGAGCTCTTTAAAAGGGGGCATTTTTAAATGTATGAGCAAGTATTTCCACTTGGCTAATCCACTATAATTTACTCTGTAAGATGTAGCTCACTCAACCTTACTTTGGAGATTAGAAAACTGTAACTAAACTTTCTGAGTTTTTACAGTCAAGCTGTTCTATTTACCTTCTCTGAAGGGGCATCCCACTCTTGTTAAATAGTCTTCAAATGTCTTAGAAGGTTATTTGTGTTCTGTTTATGACCAAGCTGCCCTGGCTTAAGAGTTTTCTTTTGTGCTACCAAAGAAGTAAAATATCAAAAGCAAGGGCGTCATGTATGAATGAAGTAAAATACAGAACACAGAACACAAAAGGTCTATTTTAGTCTAGACCCAATAAATTAAAACTACCTTTAGAATAGGCTAACCTTACCCACACGCAAAGGCCAAACAATCAGTCTAAAATGCGAAGTTCATCTGGCAAAGCTACATAAGCTTGTGAAAGAAAAATCCGACAGCATCCTCTGTACTAATACACACACATTAATTTTTTTAATACTTTGAGGTCTTTATCCCCATATGCTTTCTATAAACCAACAAACAAACAAAAACTAAAGATAAAAAAATCAAAGGAAAAACCTATTATTCTAAAAGAAAAGAAAAAATGGTAAGAAGTGTTCCATATAAAGGCTTTTTAAATAAAAATAACTTGGAATTGTTTCTTTTAAAGTACAAATCTTCTAAAATATGATGCACATTGTCAGAAGCTCTCAGGACATTTTTCTAAAACTGTCAAGAACGGTCAATGAATGTACATGACTTATGCACTTCAGTAAGAGAAACCTCATCATATGTCTATAGAGATACAGACATACACATACATTCTCTTGAGTTCAAGGAAAAACACTAAAGCAGGAGTTAGGAGAGAGACCTGAGTTCTAATACATCAACTCATATAACCTTGAGTAAATTAGTTAACCTTTATGGGCTTTCATGTCATCTGTAAAATGAGGCAGTCAGAGCTGATGGTTTTATAATTTGTTTACTTTTCATCTACTGTCATATACCATTTCATCATACATCATAAATTCATAAGATTAGTGAGACTTTCCCAAAGCAGGAAACAGAATTTAAGCTAAATAGGAATGAATGGCTTTGATCAATACCCTGAGCTCCTTACCAGCAGAGACTATTCTCTCAAAAATAAACACAACATCTTTTTAAATAATTAATACTTACTGGTGACTTACAATGTGTGTCACATACTGTGCTAAACTCTTTAAACACATCAACTCATTTAATCTTCAAGACGTGCCTATGGTTGAGTATTATTGTCCTTCAGAATGACAAGGCTTAAAGAGATTAGCTTGCTCTGAGTCACATAGCCAGTAAACTGCAAAGCTGAGACTCAAACCAGGGTGACTCTAAAGCTTCTGTTCTTAACCACCCTACTACACTACCTCCTAATAAAGAAATCACGATCCAAATACACTCTTAATTTAATCTCTAGCGGGTACTGATTATTCTCCAAATTAATGATGTGAACTAAAAGATATACTTAAAGGTTTATATTTATAAGAGAAATGCTGTGTTTTTGGTTATAAGCAACTTTTCCCTTTAATAAAACAAAACAATAGTCATTGAATCTGAAAGACCAGCAAAGAACCTGGGGTGATATCATTCATTCCCCTGCCTTTTGGCAAGTCAAAAATAACCTCATCACAACTACCCCAGGTTGAGGGGTTGGGAATGAGACAGGGCTCCAAGAAAGCTCTTCTGATAGCACGAGTGTTGGTTCCCAGTCTCCCTCACCATTCCAAATTTACTGCACAATGAATTACCAACATAATGGTTCAGAGGCTGAGTCCTAACAACATACATTCTTTCTTGCATCCTGCTAGGCCATTTGAACTAGCCTGACTGCCCACTAGTAGAACAAGTGTGACATTAGTGATAATCCTTTGCTCATTACATGGCATTTTAAGAAGTAGGATGAGTAAGGTCAAGTACACATAAATCCATGCACTAGAAAATGCATACTACGGGCTACATTCACCACTCTAAAAGCCCAAAGTGAGCTTTTTTGTATATGATCTCCATATATTTCCCCAAATACTGTCTCTCAGAAAACTGACTTTTTAGATGACTTTAAGCCTAGAAATAGCCATTTCTGATAAGGCATGAATGGTGAGGAAAATATGCAAAGGGGAATAAACTAGGATCCAAAAATGAAAGGCACAAAAAAATAAAACATCCAAAAAGATGCTAGTTAGATGGTAATTAACTTTATAAAGAAAACTATACATTTCAATTCTCTTCATTTCTCAGTAAACAAGCTTCTCTAAAAAACAATGTCCTCTGACCAAAGAGAATTTTGGTTTCATATATCGCCTGACCCTCAAACCCAATTTCAGTCTCAAATCGGAGTTCATAGTCTATAAACGCTTTTACAGAAATTAAAAGGCTGAACCCATGTGCACTGTGGATCTACTATGTACTTCATTTGGGCACAGAAGAAAAAAAGAGAATCAGAAAATTACCCTTCTTTGATCCAACCCTGGATGAAGCACTGAAGAACTTCTTCACTGTGGTAACCTTGCGGGTCTTCTCATTGGTTTTCTTTTCTTCAAACTTGGAAAATGTGAGGGACTGAGCCCCTTGGCTGTTCTGACTGCTGGCAAAGGCCTCTTCCTCCTCCCTCTGTAGTCTGTAATTCAAGAGAGGATTAATGACCCAGATATTCTCCAAGTTTTCCTTGTATCTAAAGGTTATTACTCAACTAATTGAGGAGGATCTAAAATTATTAGAACTAGAGGCTAAATACACCAAATAGGTCTGAGGTCTCTGACATGAAACTATCCTATATGCTACTACAGACTTTAAAAGGGGCTTTCTCCACAGATCATGCTCATTCAGCAACTGTACTAGGGTTACGTGAAAGAAATAAAGTCCAGTCCTTTTCCTTAATAAGCTCAAGGTCAGAAGGGAGAAAAAGATAAGTAAACGATTACAATATAATGACAGTTCCTATTGTAAAGAGTAAAACACAAGTGCTACAGGAACACAGGAGGCAACCACTAAGTCTGCTGGAGGAGTCCAAGAAGGTTTCACAATGGTAACATTTAGGTCTGTCTTAAAGGATCAGTAAGATTCCGCCAAGTCAGAGGACATTCCAGAAGAAGGACCTACAAATGTGAAGGCATGTGGTTCTTGTTACAAACCTAGTTCAGTGCAGTCAGAGCACTACACTGAACTGCAGTGTGATGGACTGTAATGCTAGAGGAGTATACAGGTAGGCACCAGGTGGTAAGAAACTTTGGATGCCAACCCACTGTCATCCTGGATTTCATCATGTGGTAGGACACCAAAAAAGACTGTAAATATAGTAAGTTACCATGATCAGATCTATACTTTAGAAAGATAATACGGTAGCTGTATGACAAATTGAGGGGCAGAAAGACTAGAGACAGACACAATAATTAAGACTGTATTACAAATATTTAAGTGAGAGAAAAAAAGGACCTGGAAAACAGGAGACGGTGAAATTCAAAAGACTTCTCTAAGCTCAAAAATGTAGAACTTGCCCTGCTGGCGTGGCTCAGTGGCTAAGCATTGACCTATGAACTAGGAGGTCACGGTTCAATTCCCGGTCGGGGCACATGCCTAGGTTGCCAGCTCGATCCCCAGTATGGGGCATGCAGGAGGGAGCCCATCAATGGCTCTCGCTCATCATTGATATTTCTCTCTCTCTCTCTCTCTGCCTCTCCCTTCCTCTCTCTGAAATCAATAAAAACATATTTAAAAATAAAATAAAAAGGGAGAACTTGCATAATTAGTTGTAGATAGTATGGGAGGTAAAGGAGAAATTAAGAATGACTTTAGCCCTGGCCAGTATTGATAGCTGGTTAGAGCATCAGCTTGCACACCACAGGGTCTTGGGTTCGATTCCAGGTCAAGGGCATGTACCTGGGTTGCAGGTTCAGTCCCGTGCGGGGGCATGTCTCTCTCACATTGATGTTTCTCTCTATCCCCCTCCTCCTTCTACTCTCTCTGGAAATCAATGGAAAAAAATATCCTCAGGTGAGGATTAAAAAAAAATGACTCCGATGTTTTTTTAGATAATTGAATAAATTATCATTAACTGATACAGAAAGTGGATCAGGAGAAAATGTTGAAAGTGGGGATTAAATAAAAACAGTAACTCTGGCCGTGGACCTGCTGAGTTTGAGGTATTTATAATAAATAAATCTCAAAGGCTATCTATAGAACAATGGTACTCAAAGTGTGATTCCCCAAACAGTAGCATCAGCATCACCAAGGAATTTATTAGAAATGTACATTTTCGAGCCACACTCCAAACCTAATAAAGTTAAGGACTCTGGGGGTGAGGTCCAGCAATCATTATTTTTTTTTTAAAATATGTTTTTATTGATTTTTAGAGAGAAAGGGAGAGAGATAGAAACATCAACGATGAGAGAGAATCATCGATCAGCTGCCTCCTGCATGCCCCCTACTGGGGATTGAGCCTGCAACCCGGGCATGTGCCCTGACCGGGAATCAAACCATGACCTCTTGTTCCCTGGGTTGACGCTCAACCACTGAGTTACACCGACCAGGCAAGCAATCATTATTGTTACAAGATTTCCAGATGATTCTCATGCCTGTTCAAATTTGAGAAATTGTGCTATAGGAAACCTCAAGTGAGATTACAATTGAAAGGATTAAGAAACAGCAACAAAATCACAGGGAGAGGTTGAGGATGGAACAGGGATACATCTTTCTCTGAGACAAAATAGAAGGTAATATAGATATTAGTACATTTTTTAAAATTGACTTTTAAGAGGAGAGGAAGGGAGGGGGAGAGAGAAAGAGATCAGCGTGATAGCAAAACATGGATTGGCTGCCTCCTGCATACCCCCTAGCGGGGATCTAACTGGCAATCCAGGCATGTGCCCTGACTGGGAATCAAACCAGCAACCTTTTGGTACCTGGGACGACGCCCAACTGAGCCACATCGGTCAGGGCGATATTAGTACATTTTGATGTGAAGAGAGGAGAAAGCTAAGAGAATTCATGCTTAGTAGCCTCTACTTTCTTCATGAAATAGATCAGCTACTGAGAATATCAGGAGTGCAGTGAGAAACCTGAGGAAATAGTTAATGTTCTATGTATGTATTTTCTCTCTGATTGACCATGAAGTCACTGAAAGCATTGAATGTACTTTATAATTCTGTGAGTTCACAGATGCTAGCAAATCAGTCACACAACAAATGTGACTGATTAGATATAAAACTAGCCAAAGCTGTAAGAGTTCAGTTTGACTTTCTTTTCTTGAGAAGCTGTAGTTTCTAGGATGCTCTGGCAAAGGATTAACATTATTTGTAGCATTTTATTAGTTCCTATGCTCACCAGCTATGCCATCTTTTAATTTTTATTATAATCATATCTCTGGATAATACAAATATCTCAAATAATACTTCTGAACTACAAACCCCATTTTGGAAAAGTTAAATTTTCATGTCCTTCCTAGCACACAGGTTGAATCACCCCTGCACCCACAAATCAACCGATTTCTACTACTGCATGTTTATGACTGTGCCAGATGCCATGCTGGATATATCAAAAAATGGGGAAAACAATGCTTGAAAAAAAGCCATGTGCCAAGCCCTGTGCTAGGTGCATCATAGATATTACCTCAGTTAGCCTCTACCATGAGGTACGTTCATCTCCATTTTCCTACTCCAAAAAGCTTATTGTCTATATTGAACTCACACACTTCAAACACAAAATACTTAAATGGTAAGACAAAAGAAAATGAAATCACTGAAAGCTATTCATTAAATGTTGACTGAGAAGAGGGGAAAAATCTATTTCTCTCAATATTAGGCTGACTTGCTGATAGCTCAAATCAGAGGAGAAAAAAATGTATTCACACAATGACAGTACTATGTATCCGGTTATATCACTGTAAAACCACCCCTAGTTAAGACTTTTTACCGCTCTGCCAGTTCCCAATCCTCCTGAATCTGCTTCTGCCTGGCTTTGTGGTACTCCTCCCTCCAGCACTTGGAACAGAAGCCCTGCCAAGCAGGGTTGCCATAGTAACCACATCCTTTCTTGCAGAGGAGCTCTGATTGATCCACATGAATTCCTCGGCGTTCAGATTTAAGGCTCATCTTCTTCCTGTTAATCAAGTAACAAACGAGAAAGTTTGTTGAAAATGAATTATTCTATCAGCACAGCAATTAAGACCCCCCAAAATAAGTCCATATCCTCAAGCTATTGGGAAGGGAAGAAGAGAAGGAAAAAAAGGGAGAGAAGGAGGAGGGGAAAAAAGAGGAAGGGTAAATACAGTTTAAATACAGCAAATTCCTGACACAGTCATATTAAAGAAAAAGACTTCTTATTCACTGCCCAATGATATGACGGACATTTTAAGAAAGGAGTAATATTGTATTAAAGATCTAACCATAAAACATAAAACTATAAAATTCCTAGAAGAAAACACAGGGGGAAAACTTCATGGCAATGGATTTGGCAACGGTTTCTTGGATATTACACCAAAAGCACAAGTAACAAAAGTAAAAATAGATAAATGGGGCTATAGCAAACTTAAAAACTGCACAGAAAACAATCAATAGAGTGATATAAAAGTGAATACTTTGTCTCAAATGAAATAATTCAACATTTACCAAGAAAACAAATATAATTAAAGCATCAGAACAATCTAAACTCTTTGAGAAGGCATTCAGGGCCCTCAGCAATCTCAGACAAATTAACATGAGCCTATTTGCCATCACTCACTACATACACAATATTGTGCTTAATTATTTGTGGCAAACAAACAAACAATCAAAGTAAACATTATCTCCATTTTATTAGATGTGAAACCTGAGATTCAGAGAGGTTTTCAAAAGTAAGTAAATTTTCTAAAAACAAGCAAATGAGAAGGGATTCAAAACCAGGTGAGCTTCCAAAATTCTTGTACCACATTGTCGCCAATCTACTTGTCCAAACTCAACTCACATCCCTGAGCACAGTAATACTCAATCATATGACCATCTCCTAAACAAACCATACATGTTTTTGCCTTAGCCTAGAATTATTTCCTACACTTTTCTTCTGCTTTTTCAAAGATGACTCACTATTGAAAGCTCATTTTAAGGGCCATCTCTTCAGTGAAGCTTCCCGTGAGCTTCCTTCCACCCAAAATTAACACTGAGTCTCCATTCTCATAACACTGCTTATTTAGGAACCAGTTATATCCATTCTACTTCATTAGAAAGAATCATTTCTATGTTTGACTTCCTCCCATCTGGACTAGAAGCATCCTGAGGAGCTGCTTTATAGTCCCGACACAACACAGTATGGTGGTAAGGTACTCAATATGTAGTTTTAACTTGCATATGGAGAAAGGGCTGTTTTCTACTCAGCCTTCATTTAAATAGTGAATAAGCTTTCCTTTAATATTTGATACAAGTTTGAGGACTTATGTAAGATATAAAGTCAGAAGGAGAAACCAATTTAAAAATGTGTCGTAAGTTGATTATGAAACCAGAGAAATTTTTAGCTATGACTTTCCTTTTTAGACTATCGGCAAAATAATTTGAATTTTCTGCAAAGCTATCCTCTAGCAAGATTCCTTACTTGGCAAGTTGAATGTGGTAAGGTAGGTAGTCTTCATCTCTGGCAATTGACAGGATCTTACCAATCCTGTTAGCTTGACTCATTTTACTAATCTCTATTTTATTCTTGCTGCTACCATGTTACAGTTGTTGAGAGAGTAAGGAAGAACCACCTAAAGAACTCTGAAAAGGTGGGGGGGGGGGCAAGAGGGGCTCTCACTCTGCTAGTATACAGGAATAGGTAATACTGGTTTAGACAGAGTGGGATAAACAGTTGTAGAAAACCTACTTGTGCTGAGTACTTATAAAATATAAAATCATTTATTCATCAAAGCCAAGGAATTAGTATCCTCATTTCAAAGATGAATAAGCAAAGCTTGAAGAGATCAGGTACCTGTCTAAGGTAACACATGTTAGAGTTAAAATTTGAAATAATACCTTAAAGCAAGTTCCTAAGTCTGTTTTCTTTTCTACCATACTATCTTATTTGATCATAGCACCAGGATTCTATTATAAATTGCTACCCAACAATTTCCATTTAAATTCAGAGAATTAAATGGTCCTCATTCTTCTTCCCATAAACAAACTGCCAAACAAGCACAGAAAAAAGTGGTACTCCACAGCATGTATTCAAGAAACTCACATGTCTGGACAAAATTAAGTCCAGTATCTTGCAGATCCTACCATAATTTAATGCAAACACTTACTAAGTGCCAACTGTGTGCACAGAACTGAACTAGAGAGAATTGTTAATACAACTGATAGAACATGTCCTTCCCCTCAGGAAGTTCATAACCGAAAAAACAGGCGTACTGTGCAATGCAGAAAGATAATGCTATAAAACTGTGGGGCAGGAAAAAGACTCGGGGAATATGAAGAGACCACTTGGGCCAGGGAGTGGAGATGTAGACCTTGAAGAGCTTGGAGTTGAAACTTAGAGGGTCTTGGAGAAATGATACAAAAATGGAAGGACATTCTACACAGGAAAAACATCTTTTACAAAAAACTGAGAAACTGGAAAGCAAATGTAGAGCATGAACGATGTGGTATATACAGGAGGTTAAGTGAAGATGTTAGGTGTGAAGTCAAATATGATGGCTTTTAAAAACTCCAGGCCATAAAGCCTGGATTGAAGCATCACTGAAAGCTCCTGAAAAGGGGACATCATGATAAGATCTCTATTTTAAGACATTACAACTTGAGAGATGGCCTGGGTCGGTGTGGCTCAGTTGGCAGAGCACTGTCCCTTGCACTGAGAGGTTGCTGATTCAATACCTGGTCAGGGCACATGCCCAGGTTGCAGGCCTAATCCCCAGTGGGGGGCCGTGCAGGAGGCAGCAATCGATGTTTCTCCCTCTCTCCCTTCCTCTCTCTTTCTCTCAAAAAAAAAAAAACAAAAAAAACCAATGAAAACATTTTTTTAAAAAAACTTGAGAGATGAAGTTCCGTCTTATATCCTGATAAAGTGGACAATAAATCCTCCCCCCCCCCGCCAAAATCAACTATAAAAATGGACAAAACTTTCTGTCTGCTGCTGAACCAACGTGTTAGCCAAGGAATGCATTTAAACTTCAAGCCACCAGCTCCTTCTGCTAGCGTCTCTCATGTCTCCTCTGTGTATGCAGAGGCTCCAGTCGCCAGAGTGGAAGGAAGCCTTACTGGCTAGCAGTGTTTGCGCATAAATTCTTTGTGGGCCAAGCGGTAAGGTATGCAAGCACAGGGGTGACCCCTGGAAGGAAGTCAAGCATTAAAAAAACAAGAAAAAAAAACTGAACACAGACATCAGGGCCACATGAAGTCTCTGGAGATTTAGTTCAGCTGTAAAACTTGCATGGTATGCACTGAGCACTATTTTTGGGAATTCTCAAAGGCAAAAAGGGAAGAGAATTGGGGAAGATGACCAGAATTCAATATATCACCAAAACCTCAATGAATTTATCATTTTCCCCACCAGTATCACTGAGCCAGCCAGAAGCGCACACCAAGGCACAGAGACAGCGCCTCTAGTTAGGGCTCAAGGAAGGAGAAAAGGAGCTCCTAACACTCAGAGAAAATATGAAAATCCCTCAATTTTATTGTTTTTCTACCTTCTCTTGAGGCACAGCAGCCAAGCAACCACATGCAACAGCAATGGCTGAAAAGACAGACTGCAGAAACCAAACTCTGAGCAAGAGGAACTATCAATTTTCCCCACTACTCTATCCTCTCATTTCTTGGCCCCAAATGTGCAGACAGTCATGGAAGTAGAGTATACATGACAGAGTAGGGTAACTAACTTCACCATTTTCTGGTTAGAGGAAAGAAGAGAACCTAGGGAACAAAAAAAGCACGGTGGAACCTCAGTTCTCAAACATATTTCGTTCTGGAAGGCTGTCTGAAACCAAATCATTTTTTCCCATTAGAAATAATGTAAATTGAATTAACCTGTCTGAGACCCCCAAATGATTCTCTTTAACCTTTCTTATATACAGTACATGTCTAACGTACTGTTTAATCTACAAATAAACACTTTAAAAACAAAAAGGACAAAGGGCAAGTCTTTTTACTTCTAGTACAATAGATGTTTCTAGGGGGGGAAAAGGGGGGGCAGTATCGACATAGTCAAAACTTGGGTGAATCCCAAAGGCTTTATGCTAAGTGAATGAAGCCAGTTTTAAAAGTTTACATATCGTATGATCAGTGTTTATTAGGAACTAGGATTGGGGAGAGGATGTCTATAAAAAAATAGTAAAAAAGTTTTTTGGAGGTGATGGAACTATTCTGTATTCTGGTTATGGAGGTGTTTACTTAAATCTATACATGTTTTAAAATTCATAGAACAATACATTCCCCCAACATTCAATTTTACTGTATGATTAAAAATAAAAACCTGAGAGGCAATTTCTAGGTTGGATTGGGGGGAAAGTGCAGAACAAGAGACAGGGACAGTAATCAAGAGACAACTACAATAAGAAGTTAAAACAAAAGAGGTAATACAGGTAGGAATGGAACGGGGAGTGGTGGCAACACACTTTGCAGGTGGGATCTATAACAATTAACTAATGAGACATAGCAGGGAGACTTGCAAGTTTACAAATACTCTTTACTGCCTCTCCAAGATTAAAGTCCTCCAAGGACAGTATTTAGATTTAACATACTTATTTAGTAGACGAGGTTGGGGTAGAAAGGAAGAGTAACTAAATCTAGCCAGAGTCTAGAGTATTAAATTGAAGAAACTTTAAAGACCATCTACTTTCTCCTTTTACAATAAAGATGAAGACACTGAGGCTGCGAAGTTATGATTTGTTCAATCAAAAAGGCAGTAAGTCAGGAACATCAGTAGAGCCTGTAGTTATACTAAGTCCTGAGTTCCATCAAACTATTTTGAGAGTCTGAGCTAATCTTTCACCATTACCATCCTGGGGTCCCTCCTTTCTTCAATTCCAAGAGGAATGGGCAAAAAGAAATACCCATTTTTCCTTATATCAATCCAATAAGTTTTAAAATTTTTATACTACAAAAACTATAGCACAGTTCTGTGTTACTAAAATGAACACATTTTAGAGAGTCTGTCTAGCA